CATTTTCCACTGTAGGTCTCAATGGATAAAAGTACTAAGAACTTTAATTTAAGAAAAGCCAGTAATGAACCTCACACTAATAAGCATATTATCGATAAATTCAAGATGTTGTCAAAAGAAAAAATGTAGACAGCGTGAATGTAAACAATGCTAAACCATGTCCAGGAAGGTCAAACCATAAATGTAACTTACCATGAAAGATTTTCTGACATCTGTCTACTTTTTATCATCTACTGCCTTCTTAAGACTTTGTCTTCAGAACTAATGAAARGTTATAATAGCCTGTGCTTTTGACAAATATCACACGAGCTTAAAGGAGAAATTGACTCCTATCTCCTGTTAACAGATCACAACAAGGATTATAAAACATCAACTTTGACAAGATGTGCCTGTAAAAATATTTATTTCAGTTTGAATGTTTCAATTGACAGTTCAATTGCAATTCTTACTTCACAGTGATGTCATCAAAAGGGTGAACTAGAAATAATCTAGTCATGAATGTAGCTGATTTTGATGCTCCTTGTTGGAGCAAGATTGCTAAACATTGTCAAAAAAGGATCAACTGATGGTTACTACCAAATGTCTAGACCAGAGTGCGGAAATGAAAAGGTTTTCTTAACGTTACTGTAAAACTGTGCTAGARTTCACAAATTAGGAAGATAACTTTTTTTACTCATTTTTTGAAAAAAAAAACATCTCATTTCAAAGCTGAGTGAATGAATAATTGGTTTGCAATTAGTATAAACCATATTCTTTAAAAGATTTAAGGAATTAACTTGGAAAACCTTTTCTGTAATTTATCACATAATAGAGGTTTGCATTACTGATCTAGSTTCAAAACGATGTGTAACATCCTAGGGTTTTAACCTTTAACCTTTTAATGGCGTCAAGTAAAAGCAATTTCATTACATAGGACATATCTCTAAGAGATAACCATACAATACAATATCAATATAATTTAAAAATATAATTAAACATTGTTTAAAAAATCCCTCCCATACAGATGTTCATGGTACAAAAAGTTAGGTCTGTTGTTAATGTATGAAAATGTGATCAAATCATGAAAGTACTAKCAGCTATTTGCAATACGTGAGCAATTTCATGCCATTCAGACCACTGACATAAATCCTCTTATTGGTTGGATGATCACATATTAATGGTCCAGTGCAGATTGTATGCGGTAATCCAACCATAAACGGTCTTTCCTACTTAGGCACAGAAATTCAGCAAGAATATATTTAAAATAATATSTTTATCAGGATATTGAAGCAAAGTTTGAAAAATTTAAATTTTATGGTAGGACTTGATATTCTATATAAACCTATCAAATTCATTAATATTTCAGAAGGTAAACAATGGGAAATCATTGCTGTCACAGCATCTTTTCATGACCAAGATATTTCCTCTGATTTTGCATACAACTTAAAATGATACTCCTAAAAATATTTTGTCTTGAAGTATTTAGAAAAATATGCTTGAGATTATGAATTTGATAAGCAATATAAAATATCAGTGTCACGCGTTTATGGTCACTAATGGAACTCCCCCAATTCTTTTTTCCCATTTTTTGCGCTATTCAAAATTAATTGCACTGAGCTTCAAACTTGCCATGTAAAATTATTTGTAAAATACAAAAGATACCAAAAATGTGAATTCAATCTACTAAAAAAATTGAAACTTTAAATATTTTTTCCTAATAAACGAAACTACATCCCTTACCATGCATTTTTTGCAATAGCTGTTGCTGATTTTTTTACCTTTCCATTTAAGTTTGCAGTGCTGTCTAATGCTTTGTGTGACTGTTCTTTCTTTTATCTTTCTGACTTGTGAAATGCTGAGATATAATTTAAAATCATTTAAGAAAAAAAACTTTAAAATGGTTTTCGGACCTTCAAAGACTAGGGATGTAAATTGCCTAGAGAAAAGTAATTTATTGTTATTATGACAAATATTTTACTAAGCTGAAGAAACCGCACATTTTTGTCCTTCATGATCATACTTGTTGAACATCATCCTTTCTCATATAATAAATAACTTGCTCATTAATAAATTATATTGATTGTTATTATAAWATTCAGCCTTATTTGCATTTAAGTAGATCAAAACTACCTGGTGATAAACCAACCAGATGTTTTTGACATYGCCTTTTAAAACCAATTACAGACACCAATGTCTGATTGATGTTTTTATACCCTTGATTAGATAGATGGATTCACTGTTCCACATGGGAACCCCAATAATATTAAGTATTTAGAGAAGATATCTTCATCTTTCATCCTATATCTTCAACATAAATAAATTATATAAATTATGTCGAGTATGAATTCAATGGAATTCATTCACATGCAATTTACTATAATACAAGTTTTTACAGTAAGGTTTTCCAAAATGCATTTTGACTTGCTATTCTTTGATTGATCTTATCCAAAGCATTTGAATATTTCTGTGGCCATAAATGAAATGCTACACGATATCTCATGCCTATATGTTTAATAGTTCTGATTTGCTCAGGTTTGAATCCTCTATAATGTTGTGGAACTCTGGGCTTTTTAGGTCTTGGAGTCTCTGTGTCATGTCGATCTTCTGGATTTTTTCTCTTTTCTTTAACATTCACTCTTGCTGACTTTTTCTTAGAATGAATCCTACGTTTGCATTTTAATGGCTTCTCAGGGATACTTAAAATGTTTAGATTAGCTGGGTTGAGCAGTTCACAATTTATAATAACGTTTTTTAGAGGAACTGTTAAATTGTACTTCTTCTGAAGTTCATAATTGGTTAGGCCTCTTTTCTTCTTTTTTGTCTTTTCCTTTCCACTCTTTAAAACTTTTGTCAMATTCTTTACCTTGTCTCTGGATTTTACCCGAGGAGAAGGAATATCAAAGCTGTTTGGTGTATCTAGATCAGATTTAAGGGTTCTAATACTGTAAGAATGGTCTTGATAAACAATTTCTTGTGTCCGCCTTAATGTTTCTGTTGAATTGTTCTTTTCAGGTTCATCATCCGGAGGAATKGAGTCTACACTCCTGTCACACAAAAGCCAATTGTCATTTACACATTTCTCTGTAGCTTCTATTATTTCAMTATCTTCTTCTTGATCTAATTCAGATGATATACTCAGTGGTGGGGAATGTTTCTCATTGTAATACATACTGTTCCATTCAGTAACAGGTGGCACTTCCTTTGGAAGGGTGTTGTCTTCTGGAGMATTTGTAGAATTACATGATGAAAATGTTCTAAGTCTCTTTTTCTGAGGCACTAATGAGCCAGATAATGTTCTCTTCCTTTTTTTGTGTTCCACAAATGTCTTAGTTTTAAGTAGTAACAATTTTCTTTGAGAACCATGTTCATTAGCTTTTTCTTTTCKTTGACGTTTTTTACAAGACAAGGYTGTGGTATCCCCTGAGAGCATTTCTGCAAGGACATCACAGCATGAGTTGTCAGCTTCATGATTATTTTTGCCATCACCTGTACTAAGTAATCTTTTTTCAAAACCTGACTGTACACACTTGATTGGCTTGGTTTCTACTTTTTTCAGCAGTTGTGCACCATCCCATATTGCATTTGGTATTGAAACATCATCATTCCTYCTTGTGCAACATCTCTCATTGTCTGATAAAACAGCATTTGGATGTGTAACAGTGTCCACTATACATCCACTTCCAACTTCTTGCTCACTTTCACTGCTGGAGTTTGAAAGTTCTATTGCTTCATCATCCAATAAAATATTTCTTCTAACTTTGGACAACCCCTTTTTTGCAGATGCCAAATCCAAATTGTGTTGGTCCAATTGAATATGATCGGGTTTTTTCATACACAATGATGTGGGTTTGGGTATCAATGGTGACATTTTCAGATTAACAGAGGCAATCCATTTTTGACCAACTGCCATTCCATGTGTTGTCCTGAATGAAGACTGAAATTTGTGKCCTCTTGCTYGGCTTACAGTATAATTTTTACTTTCACTTGTCCCGTCATTGACTCTGTCAGTCTTCAAGCACTGTTTAWATTCTCTTTCACTTGGACKTTTTTCTTCATTAACAGATGGTATCTGAGGTATTTCATTGCTTTCTTCAGCTTCAYTGCCTGAGGCATTTGTAATGCAGGCCATATCAGTTTTTAGAGTTGAGCTGTTTCTTTTTGCAGACAATGACTGTTTCAGATGAGGAGTATTCTTCAAAGTGATGGATTTGACCCATCTCCGAGGTGCTGGTTTGTTTACTGGGGTTTTAGATGATGACCCCTCCATTTCACTTTCCAATTGGGCCTTATYAAGTGTTTCAAATGKCATTGACTCTAATATACAATTTTCTGTGCAATTGTCTGTGAATTCACTTTTGCTATCTTTAGGAGAACATGTTTTCCTTGAATGAGAAGATAGCGATTCTGTKTTCTCAGATTCAGAGAAATTTTGCTTACCATTAAGATAAACTGTCTTCATTGACTTATTGACTGGTTGCAATACAACAGTACATTTTTTCACCGAGACTTTTATATCACTTGAATAATTCTCAATCTCTGTCCCAACTCCAGTAACCTTAAAACAAAAAAGTAATTAGAATAACTGTAACTGTAATATTTAAAAAAAGATTTTTTCTAACCTTTGTTGCATTGTTATAATATTTTTGAAATGTGTTGCCTTCTYTGCCATCATCAATTGAAAGTGGGGAATCAGGAGTACAAAAATCAAGAGTTTCCTTACGTGGGCTACAAGAAGTGTATGGCTGCATTTCATAGGTAAAGTAMTCATCAACACTTAACAGTGAACTTTTACATGGAGGAGGTTCACTATTTGGATGTGTACAACTCAGCAAAGGACTTGARATAGTTTCTCTTTCACTACTTGAAACCTACAATTATAGACAATATACAACATATCATTTTTATAATCCAATGGATATTAGATTTGAGTAGAGCTTTTATTGAAAAATAACTTACCTCTGTCACAKCATCTGTTCCTGTTTGAAAACTTTCCTGTTGCTTGTTAGTCAAGTAATTGTATTGGTTAAGTGCAAGTGGTGGTAAATTTGAAGGATTTAAAAGTGAGATAAAGATATTGGCTTCTGGAAGTTGAGGAAGTCCTTAAAAAAAAACAAATAAAATAATTCAATCATTAAGGCATTATAAATTGMATTACAAATTGAGTACTTACTTGAAGAAAGAGATGTTCTCATTGCCTTTGGGAAGTTTGAAAGTGTCTTCACAAGTGACCTTCTTGATGGTTTCATTTTGGCTTTGTGTTTTCTTGTTACCTAAAAGAAAATTTTTCGTTAACAATAAACAGCAAGCACAAACATTTATGTTGTTAATTATATGTAGAATAGAACATACTCTTTATTTGACAGATGGCAAGCTCAAAGTGCCTTAGATGGCTGACCAAAGAATTTCTGATTCTATATGAGCTGATTCCATATAAAGGAATAATCAAATGTTGAAATATTCCTTCATTTCAGTGTTGCATCTCAAGGTTCAAACTTACAAATATGCTAATGACAATGACGTCATAGAAGTTTGAACCTTCATAAATAAAGGTTGCAACACTGAAATCAAGAATATTTCACAATTCAATAATTTAGTTTATATGAAATCAGTTCACAGAGRATCAGCAGTAATCATAAAGTAAAAAAAAATGACATTGGCAAATATGTGGTAAAATAATAATTTCATACTTCAAAGAAGTATTTATACTTGAAAATGGGAAAAAATCCCCAATAACCTTACAATGTTTAAAGACCCAGTTTGCACCATTATGGTTTACGAGCATCTGTTATTGTTATGATATACASCAAAATATTTCTAGTATCCAAATATCACCATAAAACGAGTGTCAGATGGTTGAAARCTCTACTGTTATTGTTTATAGTGCTTAGAAAAGTGAGATGGTCAAAGATTCAAAATGCACAATACAATTTATAGACTTTCGGTAAACTGAAAAAGGCCGCCTGAGGGCCCCAAAGCATAATGGTGCACAATGGTCCTTTAAAGTGCTTGGAAAAGTGAGATAGTCAAAGATTCGAAAGGCACAGTACAAGTATAGAATTTCGTTGAAAAAAAATGGCCGCCTCCAGGCCCAGCAGCCTCCAAAGCATAATGGTGCACACTGGGCCTTTAACAGTGTTTGTGAAACATCCCCTACAATGTCAACCTCGGGAACCCAGGGGTAATCTTCTGTCGTTCGTTCCTCACTCCCAGAAAAAGGCACCTTGTTCTCGATTCGAAATTCAAAATGATGGCCAGTAAGTTGATCAACCAATCAGAATGTTCGAGTGAATCACTCGACCAATCACAAATTTACCGGCCGCCATTTTGAATTTCGAATTGAGAACAAGGTCTAACAGACTTCGTGCCCAGGGGTATTTTTTCTGGGAGTGAGGAACGAACGACAGAAGATTACCCCTGGGTTCCCGAGGGTGCTACAATGTGCCATACTCAAGTAATCTTGTTTAACTGCGCCAATTTGCCAATGAAAGTCTCCATGCTATGCTCTTCTATATTTGCTGAGAAAGTCTATAGAAAAGATTACAAAAAATTCCAAATTTGTCATCTTCTTTATAACGAAGGATGCAATAGAGGTCCGAAATTGACAATTTRACCAAGATCTGAAAATATCAGGACAGATTGATGAAAATTTGGCCATGGCTGACTTATGTTAATAAGAAAATGGTTTATACAGAATGAAAATATTAACTCATTTACTACCTGTGAAACATTTAAGACATGGTCCATTGTCYATCAAAATAATAAGACATTACGAAAATGAGCTGTAATAACATGCCTAAAACCAAACCATAGCATATCTATATCCTWTATAATCAAGTGACATTAGACTTGATTCACCTTATTACAGCTACTAAAGGTATTAATGTAGAGAGAAGATTATAATTAGAACTTAATTATTGAATTAGAATCCAAGTCCATTTTATAACAGAAATTGCAAGAGTTKAAGTAGAACATTAAGTGGTAAATCCAAAACATCCTCATGAGCAGCATCCAATCCACAAGAGCATGTGAAACTACACAATAACAYGGATTGTTGATAGGAAGATCAATTAAAAGTCTGAAGAACATACAAGAACCAAGAAGAGGCTAGATCSCAAAGCTAATGCTAATTGATGAGGTATTTGAATTTAAAAAGTATTACAGCTATGAACACACTATCAAGAGCAAAGAGAAGCCCTCCAAATCTGCAGAAGAGCTTGGGTTGTTCGAARTGCTTTGATCACATATGAAAGAATATGACAGTGACAGAGTACATAAACCAGAATCTGCAATTTCACAAATAGATTAACCAAAGTGGTGATAATGTTCAAAATGACAAAAAGCATTAGAACCATTGGCCAAGTTGGTATCCAAACTGCCAGAACTRTTTAAAAAATKCAACTACACAACTGCTCTGCTATTGGAGTGAAAAATAGGAAAATTTTCATACAAGACTGAACAATGTTAATGGTAGTAGAAAATATCCATGCCTGCATTCATTTTTAAAGGGAGATAGTATAGTGGCTTGAGCCTCTAACAAGTCACTAACACAACACAAAAACACACTTTGTGAGGCAATAACTTGTATAACTAGTTGGCTAAAAGRCTCAAAACAAATTCCAAAGGTAAATTTAGGTCTAATTTTCCCTCATTTCTATTCATGTAAGAGGGATGTTAGACTTGAAATCTCACTTTTGAAAAGGTAATCAAACTAATCATCGGTCATGTTAGGAAGGMAAAGGAAACCTTTGCTTCATAGCAGGGGCAACTGAATGTTCCTACAGCTGTCTTCTTTTAAACTCTCAAATGCATACTGTTATACTCTTTCAAGTCACAATGAAATGTGGGATCATTTTTGGGCCAAATTGACCAAGTAGGTCTGGTTCCGAGTCACTAAATTGTAACGATGAGCGTGAGCACTTCAATGAATTTCAATGTTTGATTCCCCCCGGAATTTCTGATTCCCTCCATGGGGGGAGTATGTATATTTTCTGGAACTACACATTCAACGAAAAATTTTGTCTTTTAATTTATCAACAAAACCTATTTCACGAATGCAGAACTTTTACTCTTTAATTATCTTACAAATTCTTAACACTAATACAAATTGACAATTTTCCTTAGTTTGCCCAATGAGCTTAGAAAAAAATCAACAATGTTTACACTCTTTGTCTCATTGACACAGCTCGTTTCAGTTTTGACTATTAAACAAGCTGCAAGATCCCAACGAATGAGGTTTTATTATTCAATGTTGTAGATTTGGAGGCCAATAAGGAATTAGATGCTCTTAGAGCATGAAGTCAGGCTAGCTACTTTGGAAATTTGGGAAAGTCAGAATATAACTAGAGAAAGATTTTCAACACAAGACAAAATTTGTATACCCAAGCAAAATACAAKTTTGTTWATATAAGGAACAATTTCTTAGGCTTATTTCTTGGGCATTCAAAATATTTACCCTGGATTSTTCACTTCAAGTGTGACAAAGTCAATTAAATGAACAATGCAAATTAGCATCTCGTTACCAAAACAACTCSAAGACAAAACAATTKAAATTGCTCTCTGTTCATTGGCTCAATAACCACGTGCTTTTCAGTTTGATTTATTGACTTGTATTTCTCACACCTAGATTTTCAGAGAATTTATAGTAATACTGAGAAGTTTGGATTAAAATTTCTGTTCCCCCCGTGTAAAACAACCTTATCACATTATTGACGTCCTGTCTGCAGTAAGTAGCACAGTGAATGCTAATTTATGCAAATTAGTTTTTATCAGGAATTTTTAAAGTCTTCTCATAGATAAGCCGCACCCCCGATTGGGGAACGATTTTTTTAAAGTGTGGCTTATACATGGGTAAATCAAAATAAATTCTCATAAAAACACTAGTAGCATCAAACAGTTAGTAATGATGTTTGTACATCTACAACGTTTGAGCTTTCGGTCATGTAATAACACAGCCAACCTAATAGTTGATCATTGAATACTTCCGGTTTCGATGTCTTGAATTCTTCCGGTGATCCAAACGCAACATAATACACAGATAGATAGATTGATTGATTGTCAAAAAGGTAAATCTCAAGTTGAGAAGCTTATGGCTAGCCCAACTAAAAAAGCACTTTTAAAATGTATTTTTAAAATGTATTTAGAGGCAGCATTTTTCTATGAACAAAATCACTTTGACTTTTCAAAGTTCATAAGCTTACGGTTGCTCAAGTTACAGAAAAAAAAGTAGACTTGTCATGAATWAACTTCAGCAAAAGACTATAAAAAATTTGAAAATATTGCTCTGACAGAAAAGAAATGAAATCCAAATGAATCCAAATCTTCATTTTATGTTATCAAGAGGCCTCTGAATTTGAGTTTTAGATTCCAATAGCTGTTTTCAGTTCTTGAGTCAAAAAAGTTTGTGGTTGACAACAGCAAACATGTTCTCGTTGACTTTACTTCAATAAACATATTTTTTGCTAGGAAATTTGGTAATATTTCAACCAAAATACACAGATGTGAACTAACCACTTTTCCTGCCCGTTTTCTATTGGCTGAACTCAACAATGAACACTAAACTGGCTTCATTTCTGAGCAATACATACGCACAATACATTTAAAATGACAGACTCATTTTTGTTTCTTCACCAAAAAATGGGCTATTTCTATCTAGTTASTGGATTCAAGAAATTCCTCAGTGAATTTCACTAAAAGAAAAAAACGGTATCTCAATTGTTGCTTTACAACTTGTGCGATATCATTTTTCTTGTGAAATTCATTGCATTYAGAGTTATCTAATGTATTTTCCTTTAAGCAGCATTTACATGAGCAATGTTTCCTTGACAAGGAAAAATTGCTCGTGTGGATGTGGTAAAATGGACAATTTTTCCTTTTACTTTTCAAGGAAAATTGTCAAGGAACGAAATTTCCTTGTGAAAATGGACAACAAGGAAAATTTTGCAAGGAAGAATTGTCCAGGAAAATTTGTTTACTATTCACACTGGCAATTTTTCCTTGTCAAGGAAAACTTCGTTTACACTAACGAAGAAACATTGTTAAGGAAGAACAGTCAAGAATTGTTGACCATTTACAGTCAATTTTTCCTTGTCACGAAACTTCTCAAGGAAAAATTGCTGGTGTACAGTACCGCCCAGAATTCTCTTAACAACGCAAACCCGTTTAAACGAATTTGAACATCCCTGCACCTACATGTAGTATTGTCTCAAATAATTTAGATTTTTTTGATTTWAGCAAAGAAGCATCGTCAGATAGAAATTTTACAGTAAAACTTGTAAGAAAGTTATTTAATAAGGAGGAACTCGAAGGTCCAAATATACGAGGAGTTCAGGGAAAACAACCACTAGATGCAGCCAGGATTTCAAGTATTAAGCAAGCGATAGCTAGATATTTTCCTGTTCCTGTAAGGAATGTCGAAACTCAGTGGGCATCTTGTAGAAAAGCCATTGATTCCTATATTAGAGGAATGAAGTTTTCTAGTAGAACTCAGTAATAGTAATTGACTTATAAGTGTAATCGATATATCTATATCTAATCGATATATTTATTGGYGACCTCAGACCTTAAATATTATACTTTATACTAGCTTATTATTTATACTGTATACGAATAAATTGATTTCAAAGTAACTGTGTTGTTGAATTGATTAATATCAAGTGTATTGCACTAATTTGCAGCTCGTGGGTGGAAACCCATCTTGTATTTTGAGACTCTTGATAACTGAACTTGATACATACATGTATCATCAGTACAAGCCTATACTGTGCCATGTGCACGGTTCTTATAAATTCGTTTTACCGGATGTCTTTGCTTGTCTTAGTTTGAATGGYTTTAATGCTGTTGAAAAACGCGTTCGAACGTGTTTGAATATGCCCAGAGAGCAATGCGTTTGCGTTTCAACGCGTTTGAACTCGTCCAAACGAATTCGAACGCGTTTTAACGCAATTGAACGCGTTTAAACGAAAGCATGTGCGTTTTAAACACATTTTTTTGTTAAGAGAGTTCTGGGTGGTACTGTAAATGCCGCTTTAAAGTCCTTCAGACAAACAATGCTGCCCAAGATAGAAAAAGGCAACAAAAAACAAAAATAGAAAAATAAAAAAAACAAACATGTTTGAATATGGAGGCGAAACCAGGATTATTATGAATGAGTCTTGACATGTTCTCTGGTTTACTGTCGAGCTTTCGACCTTTYAATCTAAGGTCTCATGTCAAAGACGCCCTTACAACGAATGCCTACCCAAGCCCCTTCATCACCAATGTCATCAAAAATGTTAAACRCACTAAGCCTGCAGAATTAGATCCTGAGGAACTTGTGGGCTTATTTTTCAACCTGGTTGAAAAAACAGCCCCACAGGGCTTTGTGCCTATGTACGTGGACTGACAGAACCCATAACAAGACTACTTCAAAAACATGACATTAGAGTTGTAAACAAACCATCATCTACACTCCAACAAGCATTTCCTTCGCCCAAGTACAGACCACCTATCCACCAACAAAACAATGGTGTCTACAGGATTCCCTGTGCCGACCGTCATTGGAGTTATATCGGTGAGACTTCAAGATGCTTTTCAACAAGAAAGAAAGAACACATACGAAATGTAAACAAAGCGTCCCATGGCTCGAATATTATTAATCACATACTACGGAGACCATTCTATGGACTTTAACAATGCCAAATTCCTGAAAACCCCTTGAGTCTTGGCACACCTCAAAAGACAACTTTGCAGACAATAACTCAAAACCATTGCCTGGACAATRTAATGATCTTCTATTCAAAACTTAACATACATTTCATTGTAATTTATGCTTATAGCTCATTCTTGACAAAGACCTTAGATCGGAAGGTCGAAAGCTTGAAATCACAGTAAAAAGAACCAGAGAAGTCAAGACTCATTCAAAACAAACATGATTGAGATAAATTCTAGTCCCATAGATATTTCATATCATCTATTTATCATAACCATATGTTACACATTATTACTCGGGGTTCCACAGGAACCGCGAGTTT